CAGGAAAGATTAAAGTACCATCTGATTCTTCGGCTTTATTGTATGCATTAACTGACCACACTGTGGCACATAAAATCCAATTACATACTGTAGTGTAACTGCTGTTTATTTTATGATTAGCATCGTTTATGAATGTGAATCAGTCTATTTTAATCAGTGTAACAAAGGAAATAATGCTGTTTTCTATGCTGGTATCCCAAATATTTATATGAAAATAAGCAAAAGCCTTGCAGGCTTAGAGGTCACTAATTGTGATTACTAAATACCTCTTCTCAGGCAATACCCTTATAATTGAAGAAAATGCTTAATTAGGCAGAATTGAGCAGCTATAATTTAAAAGGTAAATTGAGAAGGATATTGCAGGGTGCCTGTATTAAATGTACAGCAAAAAATAAACACTTTTGGAAAGAAAGTGTATTTCGAGAATCTTAACCCCTTACGTGCCCCTTCTGTTGTTTTTTCCCCCTTGGTTTGCCAGTGCAGCTGTGAACTTTTTCTGTCATTGAGAATCCTTCAAGGGATTCCATCAAGGAAGATGGCATTTGAACAGACCAGTATGGAACTACTCATACGTGATCTGCTGCAGTTGACCTCTTTACGATTTTTACTTTCTGAAATGTTTCAGGATTTATTGGTGAAAATTTTTATTTTTCATCACATTTTGAATAATGAGATGCTGTCTAATTCTTGGTGATATATTTCACCATTAACTTTCTGCTTGTTGAAAAGAAATCGGAATACTCTCAGTTCTTAAGTTTGAAGGCATTGTGATGCTGTCTGATGTTAATGCTGTCTGGAGATTTCTGTGACCAATTACTTCCCTGAATGCCATTCTATACTGCCATTTCTTTAGTGTCCCCGATTTATCTCTCAGAGCCTTTATGGCTTTACGTTTAGCTTTTATGGAGAAGCAGAGCAGGTCATGTGGTTACCCAGAGGCATTAGTATGGTAATTTTCTTCAAGTTGAGTAGGTGGAAATAATTAATGGACCGCTTTATTGATGTACATAGATAGCCGATTCTCTCTGTGGTTTCAATTCCCAGCTTCAATAAAGTAGCTTGAGATTTTATCTGAGGGACCAGTAATTACACAGGACAAGAATAATCACTGCACAAATACAATTTGATTGTGTTTTATGCTGTTGCCAGGGCTGATGTTAAAGCTTAAATGTACAAACAAGGAACTGCTGCATTAATAAGTTGACTCTTCTTATTTAAATTCAGAACTTAAATTCAGAAAATCTGTGCTCTTACAAGAGGAAGTTCCAATCTTTGCGTAACACAGAAATAATTTCGCTGTCTCACTTAGACTTCATCTTGTGCTACGGACAGTGACCAGGAGCAGACACCTTGGGGAAGATAAGCACCTTCTGAGCTGTAGTTCCTTTTGCCTCCAGGAGGATATTGAGGCATTCCCTGGTTCAATGATATCTGCAAAGCCATTTTAATTAACATTTGATGGAACATCAATGAATTTGCGTAATCACCTTATCCTGTTTACAGGTGTGACAGCAAAACAAACTGTAACAAACAGCTCAATTTTTCAGTCCTGTTTTTTTTAGGGGGGGGGGGGAATAAGGACAAAGCTACTTCCATGTGTCCGTTTGTCTGTAGCCCTGCGAGGAGAAGACCCCTGAAGGACTCTTTAAGGAGGGCTCTTTAAAAATAAAATGATATTTGCTTCTCATCCCTGTGAGACAGCACGGATTTAAATGATGACTCTGACAATTCAAGTCACCACAGTATTCACCCATGATTTCTGACTGACTCCAATGAATTTGTTCATTTTATCAGTTTATATTAAAAAACATTTTTCCAGTGCTTGAATTGGAGGCAGTTTCTCAGATTCATTCCCCATAAAGAAGCTCCTGTGTGGGAACATCCCTAGGCACCTCTGCAGGCAGTAAGGAAAAGAACTGATAGAGCTTTGCTCTATGTTATCTTTCATGTGCTTCTTTTACAACTTCATCATCAGCTGGCCCTACAGACACGGGCAGGATCCTTGCCTCTCACACACTGGGAAAAAGTTATTATGCCACTGGAAAATTGTTCTTCAGTATCTTCTTTTGACTTGCTTTACTTTAGTTTTATACCTAACATGTCCGAGTTTATCATCTTTTCCATTTTTTCTCATTTGGACACCATTTTTTTAAGGATCCTCTCTTCTGGCTGCCTTCTTTCTTTTTCTGATGAAGCTTTCTGGCTTTTCCTTGTCACTACTTAAAGACAGATTCAGAATAAAAACCACTTAATTTTGTTTAGATTCCAGTCATTCCAGTGCCCATTTTATGGTTGTTCTGTTCTTTTTAAACAAGCTAACCAAGCTTCTTCATTTTCAGGTAGTTCTTAATTAGATTACAGAAAAATCCACCATACGAGGGTTTTTATTCATATGAAAAACAAGGAAATTCAGTATAGTATGAAATCTACTATACAGACTATTTCTCCTACAGATATTTCTTAAACTAGAGCTCCTGCATCGCTCAGGTCTAAATCAGAGGTTGTTCCTTCAGGGAAAGTTTTGCACAGCAAACATCCTGGAGCAGTTTTACACACACGAGCCCACAGGTGCTCTACACCCAGAGCCAGAGGTGCCAAGAAGTGCAGAGTTGCTCCCCCTGTCCAAGTGAGGTGTCTGTCCCCTTCTGAGCTAGATCAAGTTCTTTTTTACAGTCAGTGCCTCACAGCAACTCTTCAGAAAGTACCTCAAAAATTCCAGTTAAGAGCAAGGTGCAGGAACAGAACAGGACAGAATGCAGAAGCTTCTCTGTAATTAAGTTCTCCATAGCCACAGAAATGATGTGGGAGACAGGTCTTAACTGTCACCAGCCATTTCACGCCCTACACCTTTGAGTCCAGCATCATTTTTTCTACGATAAAATAGTAGTAAAATACTAGTAAACATACTACATACTACACAGCCTCTGCCTCCTCTCACAACACAGAGCTGCTGCCCCCTTAGAGACGCTCAGAAGCTGCCTGGAGATGGGAGGTTGGATGAGGTGACCTCCAGAGGTCCCTTCCAGTCTCATCCCGTCTGTGGCTGTGTGACATGGATGTGCACTGTTGGTTGTCCAACACACGCTGTGGGCAGTATGGTTACAGTCTGTGAGTTCATGGCACATACAGAAGGCACCTTTATTGGGCACTTCTCCCTCATTGCTCTGCTTTTCCTCTTGAGATGTATTTATTCAGGCAAATACTTGGTATATCAGTGGGAGAACAACATTCAACCCTAACTGTATTGTTCTAGCTGTTGTCATTTCGCTGTTGTTATGCATAGGTTTGGTAACAGCCTTCAAAATCCCACATTCAAGCACCTTCATACATCTTAATAAAGCTTCTTCCCAGTAAATTTTAAGAAATTCTGTTAGGAGAAATGTGAAGACATGTCACTAGTCAGGCCGAAACTTGTCACCTTTTGTCTATGTAATGTGCTGAGAAGCAAGCTCAAGCAGTGTAAGTTTAGCAGGATTTATAAAGAAAGGTAGAGATGACACGATCAGTATATAGCAACTTCTGCCAGAATGACCAGTAGCTTGAGAGCCCTGTTAAATGAGATCATAAACTGCTGTGTGGGCTGCATGCAAACCAGCTTGGAAAGGAGCTCCTGTGCAATGCAGGTGCCAGGCTGCTGCCAAGAACGCTTCAGAGGTCCACACACAAAGGTGCATTGCATCCCCACTCATATGTGACTGGATTTCTATGGACATACAGTGCAGATAACTGGTGAAGATACTATTTCATTAATGACTTAGTCTCTACTAGAACACTGTCTGATGGAACAAAAGCTGAAATAACAAAAGAACAATATTTTGCTACTTTCTCCCTAGTAGAACCTTGTCTTCTAGTTAACCTGGAATAATAGAATAATGACTATTTTGCTGTGTTTTCCTAGATTCAGCTACTAATTTCTTTAGACTAGACAATGAATTCGGCACTTATTTTTAATTTAAATCTTGATGTTCTACATAAATTCCTGGGAATTTTTCATCGTGCTTCTGAACACTTCTCTAATACTTCAAGTATCTAAGAAGCAACAATGATCACTTTAATTTAATATAATTAGAGATTAATATTGCACACTATCACCATCCACTGGTTAACCAAGGTGTTCAGTCTTGGTCACGCACGATTAATTAACCTTCACTTGAAGCATAAGCAATCTTTCTGATCCCAGAGAAAAGTTTGCCAGTGTTGTACTTTTTGTTCAACCACATACTCATAGGTGTATCCAGAAGTAATGCTTCCACATATTTCCACGGAAACTACATTGAAAAGCTATGAAGAGCAGGATAATACTATCGATCTATTAGAGCAGGTTCTCACCTACAAGCACTGTTTTCAACACAGTCACCAGCCCTAGCTGTGCATTTTCTCCAGCCATGAACAAGAGCTGCACGCCGCGCTCACAGCAATCTGCAGCACAGAGGTGACCAGAGCTGTGACTGCTGAAATGCACCACCCGCCCTCTGTGCCCACTGCACTGCTTGGTCTTCATCAGCATCCAACTGGAACTTTTTTCTTTACAAGATATTTGACAGGGAGTTCACGGTGTGCATTTTTCTTATAGTTATGCTCTATTTTAACAAATTCAACTAAATATGAAATTTTTTTACAAGTGAATCAAATGGAGTGGTTTCAGTCTAATGACACGCTGTATGTACGTACAATTAGCATAAGGACAAATGAGCAACATACCTATTGCTAAGTAAATGTTTGATAAAACTAACAGCAAAAAAGCTATTTGTGGCTGAATTTGGGATTATAGCTACTCAAACATACTCCTTCTTTCCTGGTACAGATACGTAGGGAAAATATATTTTGGTCTTTGCTTAAGAAGTTTTAATATCAAGTGCTAGATGGATTTGCCTGTTTTCAGTTTCAATGTGTGCACACAGAAAGTATGACGAGTTTGATTATCTGGCTGTCTGCCTTGCGTCTATTTCTCTAGGCTTTCCAGACCTCTCTTGAACTTGTGCTTCCTTTATATTTTACAGTTCCCTCCTTCTGGGGTTTGGTGAACTCAGCTTGGAATCTTTGCTCAGTTGGGAAAAGGCAGTCACCCGTCAATATCGAAACCAGCCATATGATTTTTGATCCATTCTTAACTCCGCTTCGCATCAACACAGGGGGAAGAAAGGTATGTGCTCTTTTGTGTTCTGGTATAAAACCAAGAAGGTAATAGGGAATTATGTGCTATGTATCTGGGCATGGGACAGGCAGTTAAAAAATGATGTAGTTTCTGTGTAATCCAGAGAATGCTGGCACTTAGATTCATAAGGATGAATCTTCTATTGGATATATCCTGCCATAAATTAATTAGAAAACAAAATGACAACATTTACTTTAATAGATCTTAAGTATATCTCCAAGAATAGTTGATCAAATGAAAAACATAGGCTGGCAAAGACGTGCTCAGCTAAAAAAAAAAAGTCTTATTTGGCTAAAATTAGCATGATAATTTCCTTTGAAAAGTGATTGCCATAACTGATTAGCTTATAAGCTCTGTTTCTGATCAATAATCTTTTTTAAAGATATGCATAGAAACTGTCCCCTGTTTACCCAGATTTGGGTATCTGAATAAACTGCTGTGAGAAAGCAGAGCCGTTTCTGATAAGCTCGTGTGCCCACGTGTGGCTCAGGAGGTGGACTGCTGGCACACCAACGGTAGAGGCAGAAAGCAATCTTGATAAATAATACTGCTCAAACTGGTGGAGATGGTTGTCTGAGGTGTGCATATGTACCAAAATATCACTGATAGGTCCTCATCACTCATCTTTTTTTACTGCATCTAAGTTATCATAGGAGCTAAAATTTGTCTAAAAGGTATTTTAAAGATTTGTTGCTTATTTTAGGCAGACAATTCTCTTCTGCTGTTCAGTTTTCTGTAACAAAGAACAATGCAAATGGAAAAGCACTGTGACTTACGATATTGGAACAAGCAGAAACTCTAACAAGAGGTTATTCGAAAATGATTTATCTTCTCCTGTTGTCTTGACAAATGAGATTTCTGCTGGAAACACCATGAGATGGGAATATGCTCTGTGTTTCCTATTGAGCTTCTTGTGGTACAAGTGCACACACAACAGAATTGATGTAAACCTCCTTACAGAAGCGAAAAAATGGTGGTATTGTTACTTACTGAAGGACAGTAATGCTTCCAGCTGTGGTCCACATTTCAGGGGAAAGTGTGCTTTTTGCTTTTTATACAGAATTGCACTGGAGTCTTTCTTTCTATTAAAAAAAAAAAAGTTGTATTGATTCAAGCATTTATATAAAGAATGACATCTTTCAGGTTATTTATAAATTACAGAATGATATAACATGAAAGTTAAGAAAGAAATGACATGGAAGTGGTCACTAAGCCAAAGCCAGGAGTTTCAGGATATACAGGGACTGCAGCGGTGCTAAGAATTCAGCTGGGTTTTGTGCCAGTTTGGGATGAAGGAAGTGTCTGATTATTAATAAAATATCAGAGGCACTGAGGGCTGGGAGATGTTGTGTCAGTAATGAGATCTTATTGCACTCACAAGTGCTGTCCTTCTGCTGCCAGGCAGTGATGGTTTTCTATCATGTTTTGAGAACAGGATTTGTTCTAGTTGTGGTTAATCTTTTTTAGAGGGATTTCTAAAATGGCTGAATCAAAATGCTCTTTTAAGGAAAAGCTGCCTTAAGATAATTCTGTCCTCATAGTTAAGGCTTCAGTGAGGAGGTGATTTGGCAGGCAGCATGTTTATGCTCACTCTTTGTAATGTTTTTTTATAAAATGGATATGTGTTTCATATGGGCTGAAGCACTTCACTTTTCAGGGCATGAACCGGTTGGTATGGCAGCCAAGGAATTTCTATGACAAGACTTGACTGTGATTGTGTTGTAAACTAAAGGGTTTTATGGAACTGATCCTAAGAAAAAACAATGAATAAAAAAGGAATTTGCAGGTAGGCAACACAGAAGCAAAATCATGCACATCTTTTGGAGAGGGAGCTGGCAGGAATCGTGCCATGTGAGAGCAGCTAGATGGAAGGAAGCCTTCCACCTGTCTAGCCTCTTCCATCAGAAAGTTTGTTTCAGTATTAGTAATGGAAGACAACTTTGGAAAACCATACTGGTTTTCCAATTCCAACTGCAATTTTTTAGACCACTTGAAAACTAAAAGCTGTATTTTCTTGTTCCTAAAGAAAAGTAAAGGTCTAAAAGGGGAGTATGAAAGAGCAACCTTGCCATCCTCCTACCCCAGTGCCAACAAGGGGAGAAGAGGGCTGATGGTGGCCTGTTACAAAGTAGATGACTTAACAGATACTGCTGACCTGAGGCTGAGAAGAAACTTCTTCCCAATCCATTCAGGAGCAAATGGGATGGCAATGTAATTTGCTAAGTAGATAAACCTCTTTTGATCCAATTTGCACAACAAAGTTCCAGAGAGCAATGGTAATATTGCTTTATGTGCTGTTAAACCATCGCAGTGCAGTATCAGCTCATGCAATTTACAATTCAAGTATAGTCAGATGTTATTCTGAATTGTGCTGTGTTATTTTGTATGTTTGTGCTTCTTAATTTCCTGAGAAAGTGGCTTTTCAGGTCCTCAAGGCTGAATATCATTGATACAGTTAATTGGATTTCAAGATCCAGAATCTGAGCACAAGATATTTAATGAGTTTTACATGCAGATAAATTCCCCAGAAGAAATGCTGCTTTTGAGGAAACTCCCCAAGTTTCAGCTCTATCTCAGGCCCGGTTTTGTCTCTTGATTATCCGTTTTAGTGAATTGAACATGCAGACCTTTTCAGATAAACAACCCTTTTTAATAAACAATATAAACTCTTATTAACATGCAAATCACACTTCTCCGCTCTGTCACAGAGAAAAATATAGATTTACTTTCTTTACTTTTTCCTTTGGATTCAGTAACACTGAGGCACCCAGCAACAATACAGCAGGATAACTTCACTGCTGAGCTGCTGGTGACAGGCAGTGAGTGCTGTGTGCACAGCAGAGCTTTCCAGCTCTCAAGTAGGTACTGTTACTGGCAGCAGATGAACAAACCACCCCGTTGTGCACTCGTCCTCTGCTGGGGTTTCCTCCTGCATTCACCAGCTGGCAGTATCTCTTCCACAAGATCTCTGCCTTCGCTCCCCAAAACTCGTTCCCTGATCTCATGTAACCCATCTCATCTCCTGATTTTCTGTGGGCTTACTTTGAAAAACCCTATTTCCAAGGTTCTTTAAGACTGAATTGTCTGAAGCTCCAGTTAGGTGAGAAGCAGTTGCAGACATGTAAGCACAGTACTCTGTTTTTAAATTTGGAGCAAAAGTTTTATCGTGGCTCTGCACATATCGGTCCAAAGCAGATCCGTGAGGTTAAGCTTTGCTGCTGTCTTGTTTTGCATTCTACTATCCACATATATTTTGTTTTGCAAACCTCCTCACATTTTAAGGAAAACTTAGATTTCCCCTAGAAATTTGTAAATATATATGCATGTATAAAACACAGAAACAAACAAGAGGCCTTGGAAATATTCTAAATGAAATCAAGACTGAAAGGCAGCAGCAGAAATACATGTGATGGTAGAGACTACATCTGTGCCCAGCTGTATGTGGAGGATTAAGAGCTTGAATACCTCACGGAGTGCCAGTGCTGGGGCCGTGCTTTGTTGCAGCTGGAGCAGGAGATGAGCATGCTGTAAGCAGGGCTCTGTGTGTCAGTGTATCTCAGGCATGGCTTCACCCACCTGTGAACTCCATGTGTGCCACTTCTGCCTTTAGATTTTCAAGTTCTTGGCAATAGTGCTCTCAGCACAACTGATGGGTTGTTAAGATTTCTTCAGGAAATCTTTTTTTCCATCTAGCCATGAGTTTTGTTTCTTAGTAGTTCTTGTCCATACTTTTTTCCCCCCCCTTCTAAAAATCTGATAAGTAACACATTTGTTAGACACAACGTGAATCCTTGCCAACTAATTTACCTTGTAAGCAATATCCTGTGTTGTAATCATATTAAGTCATGCTTACAGGATTAAAGCAGTAGTTTAAAGCAGGTAAAGTTTGCTTAAAATCACTTTGTTTTTAAGATGAGGAAGAGCATTGTGTCTGAGGAAACAAACAGCTCTGTGTTTGCTGGCCAAGGGCTGTTATCTGCTTTCTCGAGCTCAGCGTGCTAAATTAAAGTTGTTCAGTAAAATCCATAAGTCTGCTTCCTTATATGGGGCATTAATGAATGCAATCACATATTATTTAAATTAATATATTTATAAATAATGGGTTCATACTATGCATCACAAGATAATGGCAATATTTAGCAATTTCTAAACTAAAATAGAGTGAGAGAAAAGAGATTTATGAATTGAAATCAGCTAAATGGTTTCTCTGCCAGCTAGTTCTGATTCCGTGCTGTTCAATCAATTCAGAGTATTACTAGCATTTTTCTCAAGAGTGCAATATATGACAACCGCCAAGCTTTGCTTTGGTGATTGCTAAAAGGACAGATACTGGGCTGAACCATATTTCAGCACTGCAGGAATATAAAAAAATGAATTGTTAGAAATGGTCCAGGAGGAATGGGTAGCAATAAGACATCAATGTCACCTGTAAACTGATTTGTGATGAATTTTTAGAGAGCTTACTAATATGATGTTTTGATTTAGAGAGCCTTCAGAAAGTCAAAAATCTAATGCAAACATCAACAACCTTAATGAATGAAAAAATGCGATATAGTATTGCTGCTTAAATAGTTTTCTGATACAGTAATAAGTGAACAGAAAATTAAAGTAGCGGGTTAAAGTAACTGCTGTGTATTAGCCCTCATCACTCCGTATTTAGAAAAGGAAAAATGGCTGAGCACTGCTTCAGAGGCATTTAGGGAAGGCTTTTATCTAGTCTAGATTTGTGTCTAGTGGTGTTAATGTTTCCTTATCACTTCAGTGATGGAATCAGTTTGGAGTGTGGGGACTCAGATGGGCACTGTTGCGTTTTCCTAAATTTCTGGTTGCTGATGGCAGTGGAACACCACTGAAATCATGAAGGAGACCTGAATGGCACTGGCATGCATTTCTACATCTCCTTCACACCATCAAGGTTTTGTGGCTTCAGTACAACTCCTCTGCTTGCCTTTTAATCTGGTCCAGTGCCATAAAACAAGCTCACTTTT